TGCGTTTTAGTAGTGAATGCCATGGCAATGCACACTAAGAAGAGATTTTTAGAAAGTCCCCCGCGGGGGGTGAGGAAGAGCATTAAGTCTTAACCGGAAGAACGGCTTCCACTGTACTATTTTAGATGCGATTTTTTTGTTTTCAACTACGTTTAGTCTTCATTGAGTACTTAGGTGTATTAAATTGATAACATTTCAGATATTGTTATAAATATTTTTATATATTTTTGATTTTTTAACCAAATGTTCAAACCGTTTTAAATTCGAATTTGTTATTGCATATTGGTTCGATTATAGAACAATTGATCAAATTGAAAATAGTTAGTTTAATTTTCAGCAATTCTCATTATTTTCAACGGTAGGTGTTATATAACAATTACTATGATTGTTGAAATACTGAATATAAATGGGGTTTGCTTGCAAAATGGGGATTGCTTGCAAAACTACTGCGGGCGAAGTCGTGAGTAACAGCTAGTATTTCATATAATTTTAAAGGTGAAGATAAAATTTCATAATAGAGTTGTAAAGATGGCATTTCAAGCAGAAAACATAAATTGACTTTTAAGTTAATTTATAAATAAAGACTTTATTTATAAATTCTTTTTATTATTTATAAATGCTTTCAAAGACAAAATCTTCAACTGCTATAAAATTTCCAAATTATTCAGATATGAGGAAACAGTTTAAAATTCAAAGTTTTGTCATCTAATTCTTTTTGAATGCAGAATGTGTAGAGAAAGTTCAGATTTATGAAAAAACCTGGAAAAGACCAGCACGATGAATAGAAAGAACAATACATACTGGAAATGGTTTTTTTCGAAAATAATTAATAAGTGTTTTAATTCTTATTTCTTAATTTATTTTTGATTTGTTTAAAAGTAAACTGATCTTTACGCTTAAATTTAACAAATATATTTATATCATTAATAATTTTCACAATCATCTAGACTTACATAAAAGTAGAGTTATTACACATTCATTTATAGAAATTAATATCAAAACTATATTATACATTAAAATAAGTAATGTATTTAAGATTGTAAATTTAAATTTTATCCTTGTTCAAATTTCTTTGTCATTAGGTTGCTAGTGGGCATTTAAATATGTCATGTATTTTTGTTTGGTTATAGAATGTAGCAAAGATTTTAGAATGTTAGGATTTTGGAATATTATTATAATATGAATATGTAATATATTTAACATTATTTATTTAAAAGAATTTGTATCTTTAATAAATGTTTAGTAAGACTTGAAAGTTCTTGCAGTTGTGTGTGTGTGGTTTTACTTTAATAAGACATAATTAATTAATTTAATAATACAAAAGATGTTTAAATAACTATTATTTTTCATTTAAACTGTCTTCAAGGAGTCAGAATATGCCAACTAGTTACAGACTTCAAATAAATTTATTGTTTTGTCTTTAAAACTGAAAGTGGACTTTGAAAATTTACATAATTGAGAATATTGAAAGTGTTTTAGCTATAAATGTATTTTTATGAAAATTACTAGTAAAAAATGTTTATTTTTAAAGTTATCAATTGTTATTAATTATAAAATTGGTATTAAGAATTACAATTATTAATATTTTTTACTTTAGAATTTTTAAATTGAAAGAAAATTAGTAAATTTATGAATTTCTCATTTCAGACAGTCTCATTGTTTAGTTTTAAATCTTGGTAACTTTAAAATGGATTCAAGTACTAAAAAACAAGATATTCAAACAGTTAAAAGTTTAGTTAAGGCTGGAAGTACTGATGTAAGTCATTTAATTTTTGATTAAAAAACTGAAATAAATTAATGTGTGTAGGAAAGATACTTAAAAATTTTAATTAATTTAAAAAATATATATATATTAAAAGCACATAAAGTACAGTTGTTATTTATAGTCAGAATTTATTGAATTATAAGGCTATGATTGGCAGATTGTCTGTCTTTAACCAAAAATTGGGTTTATTCAGTTGTTTATATATCACTAGCTTACCCATTGCGCATTGCTGCAATCTCAGAAGAAAGGAAATTCAAGAAAACTCGTAATGATAAAATTAAATTTTCATTTTATCATTTTTATTGAAACTTATTATTATTATTCGTTTTCATCGGGAAAACATTTCAAAGTGTTGTTTCAATTCTATTTATTTATTGGAGTGCTCGTGGATACACGATATTTTTTGTTTTTTCGTCTGGTGCGTACACGAATAATTCGGAAGGTTTTCCGACGCGTGAGCTGGCCACATACAGTTGTCCATGCGAGAAGCACGGATTCTCCAAATTTAGCCCACACACTTGCAGCGATTGTCAAAAGCGCGATATTCCCCATTTATATATATATTTTTAAATCCTTTATAATTTTAATTATTTAATTGCTCCTTCCTCTCTTCCTTGGCATGTTGTGAAATTTCTGATAGTCGGATAATAAAACGTTTTATTGTAATTTGTCTTTTTAAATTATTTTGAGTCGATATTAAAATTTGAAAAAGGGGGATACCTAGATCGGTAAAATAGGTGAATTTCTTCCTACAACTTCGGTCGTTGTTCGGGGTACAGTTAAGATTTTAACGAAGTTCGAGCGAATACATAATTAGCAAAAAAGTCGAAATAAAGCGATTAAACAAAAATTATTATAAATATCGTAAATAACAGTTCACAAATGCATATATAGAGATATTTTTTGAAGGGGGGAAATGGTCTTCACAATTTGAAATCGATCGAACACACTGTGCGCGAATGCTCGTGTAAACACGCGCCATCTATCGTAGGATAAATGTACTTCGCGGGAGTGTATTAAAAAATTAAAAAACTTTCCAAAGCTTCATGACAATCGTACTATGCCACAAACCTTCGCTGGAGAATATTAAACAACTTCCCAAAGTTTCACGGCAATCGGATAAACGGTGTGGTAATGCATGAAGGACACACACAGACACAGACATACATTCATTTTTATATATATAGATTATTTATACATAGCTTGTTTTTTTGGTTATATTATATATATTAAAGCTAAAACTCATGAATTTGATAAAGCTGTAATCAGCTGGCTAATAATAAGTTTGTCTTTTGGTAAAAGCAAATACAGGTATCCTTCATATCAATAATTAACTGAAAATCACAATTAAAAGTACTGTATTATGCATTAATATTAATTTTAGTTAAATGAGAGTGTTTTCTTCTTACAAATTGTTATCATCTGACCTTTTTTGTTGATCTGGGTTCAGAAATATCAGCAACGTCTTCATTTTTCTTATTTACATCATAAAAAGTTTGTGGATGACAAAATGAAAATATGTTGTTAATTGAAAAATTGTTTTGGCAGATTGAGTTGCAATCTGCCAAAACAATTTTTCAAAAAAAATATATATATATATATTTTTTTTCCAGAATTTGTGTTGGAAATCTGAATTGTTCAAGTTGGGAACAGTTTGAGTACTGAGATACCGTTGTATTTCATTTATAATTTTTACAAATGCTTGCTTACTTATGATAAAAATAACTTTAATAACATTTACCTAAAAATGTTCAAATTAATCTTTGTATTCAGTAAAGTTTATCAATAAAACCAAAACACTGTGACAGTCTTAAATGCTAATGCCTGAAAGCAATGTCAACAATTCCTGGTCAATAGGAAAGCTAAGACAAGGAAAAAAAAAATTGCATTATCAGTTTTAATTAAAGTAAACATGACAAAGGCCATGAACAAATTGAAAATTTTAATATTGTAAAATTCACGGGCAAATTTGAGATATGTATGTATGCTTACTTCAATAGAAAAAAAGTATATATAGAAGAACAGAGTTTGCACTTAAAAATTGTGAAATTTTATATGAACAATTTCCCAAATTCTCAAACTGCATAAGAATGAAATCAGAAATTGTGTTGTACAGGGGATATCCCCAATTTTCCAATTGTGTTGAAATGCTGTGTTGTACAAAGGATACCTGTCAGTCTGGTTTGAATGTTATCTGTATAAAGTGTGCTTTATCCAAAATAAAAAGCAAAGAAAGCCAACATTACACAAAAACAGATGGATGAAGCAAAAACAAAACTAAAAAAAAGTTTGGGTTTTATCCATTCCACTTTGTATAAAGGAAGGAGAAAAATGGATTTTCTTGAAATTTCTACTCTTCTAAATTCTCCACACTCTACTTTCTCATATTCCATCATGCTTAATGGGGGAATTTCTACTTTATAAACATAATGAATAAAATGAACTGATTTAACTAAATTTTGTAATGATATAGTCTCATTCATTAACTTCTATTAAATCAATTTACTTTTTTAGAAATGATAAATTTTAAAATAATCTTATACAATGTTTACAGTTTAGCTTTAATTAATTTATAAAGCTACATTTAAGTATTGTTCACAGAATATTTTTTATTAGGAAGAAGTATTGACAGAAATGATTTCTCAAGCATATGACAAATACAATATAGAAATACAAAATATGGAAGTTATAATGACAAACCCAGGTAAAAATTTTATTTAAATAAGTGTAAATTATTGCTTTAGTTTCAGTGTTATTTAGTGTTAATGCAAATAATCCTTTTTATCTAATACTTAAAACTTTTTCAGAATTGAATGCAAACAAATTTTACATTGATATGTTGAAAAAATTTTTGTTTTTTACATTCTCATTTGACTCTGAATTTTTTAACATATATTGATTAATTAACAAAAGTATATTTGAATTTCTCAAAGAGCACTTAACTCCTTTATTACATAAATTTATTTATTTAATAAGTGCTATGTATTTAGTATTAATAATTTTTTTTTTAAATTGAGCACTTTATCTGATTCTAACTTTCATTACTCATTGTGCAGTTACCAAACACAACATTTTTAAACTATTGCTTCAGTAACAATAACATTTTAACATTGTTTAGCTATGGATTTGAATTAATTGGTACGAAAAGTTAGTAACTTATTTATAAATATATGCTCTATTTTACATATCCATTACTGTAATAGATTGTTTTCTTAACTATTAATTTTTAATTTTCTTAACATTAATGTTTGTATACTTTTTATGCAATAAATTCATAAATTTGAATTTATATTTAAATGAATAAACTAAAAGTATTTTTAATAGACAACATAGTTTTCATTTATTTGGCAACATTGTTGTGCATGTGATAAATTCTGCAAGATACTATTGTTTTGAATGTTAAATTTTTCTGAGTGTTGTTTGATTAAAAGTTTATTGTATGATAATGGCAAAATTCTTCAAATTTTATTAATATTCAATATTTGAAAAGCAAAGAAAAACAATACATTGAAAAATTTTTTATTTGTACAAATACAGTTTTTGGATTATAATCAGTAATATTAAAAAAAGTTTTCATTGAAACAAATATTTTTATATATTTATTATATATGTATTATATATACTTTTATATATTATATAATTATTTAGGAGAAAATTGGAAAATGTCTAAAGAAAAACAGAGATCATATGCTCATTTAATTGAACCAATCAATGTTATTGTTTACCTGCAGCAATGCATTATTCAAGAAGACCCTCGATTACCCAAGTTTGTACTTCATAGTGTATACAGCATTATAATTACCTGGCATTTTTTTAACCAATCAATCTAAATTTCAGAATGAAAATTTCAGGAGAGCTTCCACTTCTTAATCTTAGTATTTCGGATCAAAAACTGCAACAACTGTTAGCCTTAGTTCAAAGTATTCCTCTTCCAGGAAGTTCTGCTGAGGAACCACCTCAACCTGCTGTAAGTAAATAAAGTAATTTATTTATTTAACATAAAATTTAGTTACATTGTTCAACACTAAGACAATGTAGATGTTGACAAATCAATGTTCATTTGTGTTAGATCTTAAATTCTGTTTTATCAGAGAACAGATTCTTATTAATGTACTTTTCTAAACTCAGTACTTTCAGCTTCTTTGGATCATGAAGTGCATTATCTTATAAAAGTGAAAACATTACTTTAAATTTCAGATTCTATTCTAAGATTTTAGAAATTTAAAAAAAAAGTTAATCTAATTCAAAATTTTTTTTGAAAAATAGAGATTTAGTTAGTTAACAACTGTATACAGGAAATTTATACATTCATACAGGAAATCCTCATTTTCGGGAATAATTTAAACTGGTATCAGCGTGGAAAGTGGCAGATTTGCAAATTTAAAGAACAAGCTGATGCAATCAAATCTACGATGATTTGATTTGAAATTATCATAAATTTGAATTTGGATACCGTTAGTTCATAACTACTACAGTAGAGCATCGATTATCTGAATCAATTGGGGACTGGGGTTGTTCAGAAAATTGATATTTCGGATAACCGATTATGTACGAAAAATATATTAACTTATCCCATGTTGAAATTTTTCTCCGTTGCGTATCGCTTTGCGTTGAATTTTCATCGATGTTAAGCTTAACGAAGACTATTGTATCATTAAAAAAATATTTTTTTATTTTGTACAAACAAAATAAATATATTGAAAAATATAAAAACAATAAAAAATTATACTTCCGAAGTTAATTTAGTATCAAAAACGTAAAATATTTCAGTAGCCCAAGACATAGCCGCAGATTGCAGCGCCAAAGCACTGGTGAAAATTTAAATTTGCCGACTGGAATTCTTTCAGATAATCAACGTTCTACTGTATTTGTCCTATTCGGTGATATAGATATATACATGTTAAGGAATTTGGTTAGTTTGAAATATGGCCAATTTCAAATTTGAAGTGAAAATTCTGTCCAAACTGTGATACACATGTGATAACTCATTTAGATTGAAGTGTCTGCATGCTTTAAGAAAAGAATAGACCAATAACAACTCTAATCTGATCACTATGGTTTGCTTTTACAGTAACACATTTTTTTGTTACCTTAAACATGGACTATCCTTTTATTCTCTTATATCATAAGGCTGGATTTCAGAATTGCTAATTTGGGCTATGAGTAGCAGACAGATATTTGTAGACCTTTAGGCTACTAGATTTGGGCAACTTATGATTTTTTTCAGCCATCTTAAAAATAATTTGGGTTATGTTTCCAGGAATTCTACTTTTGCTTACTTTTTATATAAAAGCTATCTGACAATATATGAGGTTTTCACCAGACATTTTGCTATTTACTTGTAGTTTATTTATAGGTTTTATAAAAAGTAGGCTAAAGCAGAATTCCTGGAAACATAGCTCAAATTAATTTTAAGATAACAATAATAATAATAATAATAATAACTCTTTTGTGGTCACCATCTGGTCGTGGTGGGAGAGCCCAGTAATTTTACTTAACCATAGCGCAATGCAGGCTGGAGCACAAGCTCCTGGTAGGGACACCCATGCCAGTAAGGTCTATGGGAAGAAATGAAGCTAAGAGTGACCACACCCACAATCTGTGGACATAATTATCATGGTAGTAACCAGATCAAAGTGTGATACCGGCTCGGACGTCGCCCGGGTTAACAACGTCCAAGTTCGTGGGTTAGGCAGAGGCTCACGTTCGAAAAATAGGCAACAGTCTCCTTTGGTTACGGGTGGTGAAAGCAGCGCCGGACCAAGCATGGCTACTGCAATGCCCTCAACAGATGTGAGGAATCAACCTAGCCTTGGTGTTTCTGTGGCAATGTATCCACTGACCACAAAGGCTGGAAAACCACGCCAACGGATAAAATGGACAACAGAAATGAACGAGTTTATCATCCGTACTTACTACAC